CTCCAGGAGACAAGGGCGGGACGCACGAACACAGGCCAGCGGGGAAGAGTGCCCCTGAAGGAAAGAAAGGGGTTCTTGCGCGCTCTTGCCCGCAACCCCGCGATCCCGATCATCCGGCCCGCTGGGTGCGCTTCTCAGCTCCCCGGTTCTGGATGTGAGGCTAATGACTGCACTCCAAGTGCTCCAAGTGCGCGTCGCTGCTCAAGATAATAGGTATATTTACGTAGGTAGGTGTTACCTCACACGGTCTATTGCAGAGACAAGGAGGGCCCACAGCATACACACCAAGAGTACATGTGCTGTGCACTGGACATCAGAGGGCCAGGGGTTGGATCAAGCAGTGGGAAGGGACTCGAGGTGACGCGCGAGCAGAGACCTACATTTCCACACGCTCCACACCGCCGCGCCGATCTTCGCGCGGGCGGCGCGCATGCGCAAAAAGAGAGTCGCGGGAGGAATTGTTGATCAAAGAAAGAAAGAAAATACCTCGCCCTGTTGGGCCGCATCTCAGGCCTTCGCTCACCGGGCCATGCTCTCTGCCTTCTCTGCGGCCCTGTCCGGCGCCTACCTGCCGTCGGTGCACCTCGCGCCGCGCGCCACGGCCGGCCGCGGCGCGCTCTCCGGCCTGCGCATGGCCGAGCCCGACTTTGACCTCGTCATTGTTGGCTGCGGCGTCGGCGGCCACGGTGCGGCGCTGCACGCCGTGTCGCGCGGGCTCAAGGTGGCCGTGTGCGCGGGCGAGGACGTGGGCGGCACGTGCGTCAACCGCGGCTGCGTCCCGTCCAAGGCCCTCCTCGCCGCCTCTGGCCGCGTGCGCGACATGCAGAACGACAAGCACCTCGCGGCGATGGGCGTCAAGCTCGAGGGCGCCGTCACATACGACCGGCAGGGCGTGGCCGACCACGCAAACAACCTGGCGAGCCGCGTGCAGGGCAACCTGCGAGGCTCGCTCACCGCCCTCGGCGTCACCGTCTTCGAGGAGAAGGGCTCCCTCGCCGGCCCTACCAGCATCGAGCTTGTCGGCGCCGGGAAGACCATCGAGGCGAAGAATGTCATCCTCGCGACGGGCTCGGTGCCCTTCGTGCCGCCCGGAGTGGAGACGGACGGCAAGACCGTCTTCACCTCGGACGAGGCGCTCAAGCTCGAGTGGGCGCGTCTCGCCACCTCTTTCGCTCGCCACGCACGGCCGCCCCGCCGACCGCCGCCTCTCTGCCGCAGGTGCCCGACTGGATCGCAATCATC